ATTCATAAAGACTAAGATAAAAAAAACTAAACAAAGATGCTAAAACATTAAAAACTCTTTTCCAAGTTCTACTCCATCAACTTTCTCATTGGAAACTCATCAACAGCTGAAGATAGTTTCTTGGGCACACTCACCTGAACACTTCTTTTTCTGTTGTCTCTTCTTCATCAAAATTGTCATCTATTTATAATAAAGAAGTAGAGAATAGCACAAGATTTGTTTTCACATGGAAACAGACAGTTTAAGAAGTTTAAAGTTATTGCTATAGTTGTTTTTAACCCCATAAATATTTACTCTATAATTAACTATCTATAATATTTGACATGTAAATTTGTAAGGCATCTAAATTATCAACATGATCATAAGCTTTCTGTCATCTGATGGTTTCTAATTTTTTGTTAAAAGTGTAATTCAAAAAAACGTCCACTTTCAGGTTATGGTGTGCGTGCGTGTGTGTGTGTGTGTGTGTGTGTGTGTGTGTGTTTGTACCTTTTTTAGTAAGTAAATTAAATTATATATTTTTTACTGTTAGTACTAAAGTAAATGCTGATGGAGCACATTTGTAAATGCAAACGAAATCAAATATGAGGAAGAGATGATTCATAATGCTTAAAAAAAGGCAAACAGACATTTTGGAGTAAATTAAAATCAACTGCTGGATTAAATCTATATAAAATGTCAACAAAATACTGCAATAATTAATACAAAGGTCTTTGCACCAGTTTTTGCTCTATATTTCTGCCTTTTCCATGCAGTTGTGAACTGTGTAGTCTACAAAAGTTTGGATAAACATCTATTCATAAAGACTAAGATAAAAAAAACTAAACAAAGATGCTAAAACATTAAAAACTCTTTTCCAAGTTCTACTCCATCAACTTTCTCATTGGAAACTCATCAACAGCTGAAGATAGTTTCTTGGGCACACTCACCTGAACACTTCTTTTTCTGTTGTCTCTTCTTCATCAAAATTGTCATCTATTTATAATAAAGAGAATAGCACAAGATTTGTTTTCACATGGAAACAGACAGTTTAAGAAGTTTAAAGTTATTGCTATAGTTGTTTTTAACCCCATAAATATTTACTCTATAATTAACTATCTATAATATTTGACATGTAAATTTGTAAGGCATCTAAATTATCAACATGATCATAAGCTTTCTGTCATCTGATGGTTTCTAATTTTTTTGATAAAAGTGTAATTCTAAAAACGTCCACTTTCAGGTCATGGTGTGCGTGTGCGTGTGTGTGTGTGTGTGTGTGTGTGTGTGTGTGTGTCTCTTCTTCATCAAAATTGTCATCTATTTATAATAAAGAGAATAGCACAAGATTTGTTTTCACATGGAAACAGACAGTTTAAGAAGTTTAAAGTTATTGCTATAGTTGTTTTTAACCCCATAAATATTTACTCTATAATTAACTATCTATAATATTTGACATGTAAATTTGTAAGGCATCTAAATTATCAACATGATCATAAGCTTTCTGTCATCTGATGGTTTCTAATTTTTTGTTAAAAGTGTAATTCAAAAAAACGTCCACTTTCAGGTTATGGTGTGCGTGCGTGTGTGTGTGTGTGTGTGTGTGTGTGTGTGTGTTTGTACCAATTTTAGTAAGTAAATTAAATTATATATTTTTTACTGTTAGTAATATTTCAGAATGAACACTTACTGAACTGAAACCTTTTTTGTTGTTTAAGAAAAATCATGATAAAATGAGAGTATTGAATATGATACATCAGGTTTTTGTGGAACATTTATTTGTCCATCTCTATCAATCATCATTGTATTACGTTGCAATATATATTTTGCCTCCCACAATTAAAAAACTATAGAGCTTTTTTTAATCATAAAACTGCAATACTGTTCTTATTGATCTCATTGATTTCACAAAAAAAAAACAGATTTCTTTTTAAATATTTGGTATAATTGGTTAGATGTATCAGATGGAGGAATACATTTCATCATCTAAAATGCTGCAAGTTTATGAATGGATCAATTTAAAGACGATTTTAAAACATGATATTCAAAATGTTAACTCTATTGTATATTTTTACATAGATTTTTCTTTTCTCAGATTCATCCCTATTGGACATTATACAGTATCGCTTTTTATTTCTCCTCTTTCCTACTACTTGTTTCGCTTCTGTTTCAGTTTTTATAACCATTTCTTACTATGTGTAAGTAAGTTTTTGTTTTTTAGCATGTTTGGCAGTGTTCTTTTTTAGGATTACTGATAAATTACTGTCATTTGATTTGTATTAATTGTATTTGTTATTTATTTATTTTAATTTTAGTTAAATTATGTCTGAATTTATTATGTCTGTATAGGTCTTTTATTAAGTTTTTAGTTTTATTTAATTT